CGACCAAAAAGAAAAAGAGTAAATATAAGTAAGCCAGATATTGATGGTGTACTTACAGCCACCAATAATCCTAGCTACTCAAGAGGCTTGAGATCTGAGGACTGCAGTTCAAAGCCAGCCCAGGCAGGAAAATCCCTGAGACTCTTTATCGCCAATAAACCACCAGAAACCGGCAAGTGGCATTGTGGCTAAAGCGGTAGAGTGCTCACCTTGAGCTGGAAAGCTGAGGGACAACACCCAGGCCTAGAGTTCAAGCCCCATGACCGACCCCTCCACCCCCAAAATTAAGACATGGTACATGTTACCTTCTTGTTTACAGTTGTCATGCAATTTCTAGGCACTTAAAATCTTGATTTGTTTAGGCCCCTCCTAGTATAGGAGAGGTTCTGGGTTCAACCCTCAATAACACACACACATACACACACTGGAACACACACTGAAGTCTGGATTTGTATGTCTGATGGAGAAGGACCTGCCTATCTGTCCCTTCCTTTACTCCCCGGCCGCCACCCCCCCTTCCTCCTCTGTAGGGAATCCTAAGTCTAGCTTTGAACTTCCTTGGTCCCTCTTCCTGTGAAGGTCCCCTCTGCCCTGAATGCTTTCATTTGCCAGCACAAGAGGAGGAGACATTCAGTTCTTTAAATATAATTTCAATTGTGGCTCATTTTAGAAGTTGTAGGAACCCTTTTAAAATTTCATCCACCTCCTCCCATGAATAAATTTTCCTGTGGGTGGCAAATATTAAAAAAAAATGTATCATTAAGAAGTCTTGATGAGGAATTGCCTATAGCCATTTCAAATATAAAACCTCAAAATTTTTTTTTCCATCTCCTCTTTCCTCTTCTGCTCTCTTCCCTCCTTTCAAATAATCCCCAAACTCTTAGGATCTGAGCAAAGTACACATCTGCAGAGGGGTATGGGGATGGTGGTGGCAGCCTGGCAGGTGGGTGGGCAAGATGCTGGGAGGGGGAGGGGCAGGCTGTGCTGGGTGGAGCCTCAGGGTGCTGAAGAGGTTTTCTGCAGTGGCCTGATGACAGTGGCATCTTGGCACATGGTGTGGATCTTGAGGGAAGGAAGGTGCCTGGGTTTGAGGATGAAGCAGTTTGCTAGCCTGGTGTCGGCTTCTGACTGCCAGTGAGCTGAGCCCTAAATACCCCAGGGGGGTATTTAGAACCCAGGAGGAGCCATGTTCTTCATAATGCAAAGTGGATGTGGTGAAAGGGGGAGCTGGTGGCTCTTGCCTGTAATCCTAGCTCTTTGGGAGGTTGAAATCTAAGGGTCCTGATTCCAAGCCAGCCTGGGCAGTAAAATCTATGAACCACCAGAAAACCGGAAGTAGAGCTGTTGGCCAAAGTGGTAAAGCACTAGCCTTGAGCAAAAGAGCTCAGGGACTGCACCCCAGGCCCCGAATTCAAGCCCTAGGAGCATCCCTTCCCCGCAAAAAAAAATCAGTGAGAGAAATGTTCAAAAATTTTCAAACTTCTTGTTGAACAGTGCACCAAAAAACTAAACTTTGAGGATATTTATATAACAATAATTAAACTGTGATAAGAATTTAAGCCAAAAGCTAAGTAAAGTATGTCTGAATTACCTCAAGAGACAGGCCTTGGGGAAATCCAGGCAAGATCATGGCATAAATGCCATCTGAGGTGCCTGGACAGGAAGACCTGGGCACCTCCTCACACTCGTAACACACTCGTGGTGCTATAACAAGGCAACCACAACACCACTTTGTATTCTCACCTTTCTGAGGAGCAGACACCAGTGTGTCAGTAGGGCTGATATTTTTTTTTTTCCCTCCAGGAATCTCTCCTAAGCCTGCAAATGGCCACGTTCTCCCGGTACCAGCACACGGTCCTCTGGGCGGTAGTCTCCTTTGCCACACCAGCCATACTGGATTAGGGCCTTCGTAATGACTTCATTGTACTTCTGCAGAGACCATACCATACTAGGGCTCTAAAAATCCACTCGCAAATTTGAATGGGTATGTGAGAAAGAGAAAGCTCTCAACTGAGCTTGTAAGAGTGGATTCACATATTTTATAATAAATGTAATACTGTGAGTCACAACTTCTAAAAGTGTTAAGAATCTGATGGAGGCTCCTTGATTTTAAAAAAGAAAAAGAGGCAAAATGCAATCCCAATTCTTAGCCTACTTCAATCCATTTCAGGAAACTATATGCCCTTTTTTGGGGGGGTGCCAGTCCTGGGGCTTGAACTCAGGCTCTGGGCTTTGTCCAAACTTCTTGTGCTCAAGGTTAGCCCTACCACTTGAAGCACAGCTCCATTTCCTGCCTTTTTTTTTTGGGGGGGGGGTAGTTTATTGGAGTCTTTTAAGTCTCATTGACTTTCCTGGGTGGGCTATCAATGAATTATGATCCTCAGATCTCAACCTCCTGAGTAGCCAGGATTACCTGTAAGCCACTAGTGCCCTGCTTGTATACTATTTCTTCGCATGGTCCCTGGCCTCTTCTTTGATACTGATTGACTTAAGGCAAGGATCCTTTTTCTTTCCGGAATTTGAACTCAGGTCCTCACACTTGCTAGGCAAGTGCTCTGTCACTTGAACCATTCCTTGAGCCCCTTCTGCTCTGGTCATTTTTGACATAACAGTCTCTTTTGCCTAGGTTATTCTAGACTGCAATCCCATTTATAATTCCCCCAGTAACTGGGATGAGCAGTGCAATCTTAACATATGCACTTTTTTTTTTTGCTGGTGAGACAGAGTCTTCTTACAAGCTTTTTGCCTGGTCAGGACCTGAGCCATGACTTTTGTTTTCTAGTGCTGGTACTGGGGTTTGAATGCAGGACCTTGTGTTCTTGTTTGGCTTTTTAGCTTAAGGCTGGTACTATACCACTCCTGCCACACCTCCACTCTGAAACATTTTAGTCTCTCATCTGATCCATGGTTGTCTGTTGCAGGAAACTGCCCTACATCAATACCACGATCATCTCAAGCACCTGTAACTTGTTCACCTGCTCCGCTGCCCTCCAAACCAGTTCCTTTTCTTGGACTTTCTAGTTTTATTTTGCCAACATTTGAAGCTTCTACGTTTCAAACACGGAACGCTTCTTTTTCCCCTTTTATCACCACTTCTCAATCTGTTTTTGTAATCATGCCATTGTCCCTTTTTTTCCTCAATGGCACTTTCCACTATCCAATGTGCCATACACTGGTGTATTTGGTGGTGCTGGGGGATTGAACCCAGGGCCTGAGCAGGTGTTCTACCACTGAACTTTTCTTCTTTTTCGTAAGATTTTACTATGCTGCCTCAACTGGCTTCAAATTCCAAGGCGTGAGGGATCCTCCTGGCGCAGGGCCACATTCCCATTCTCGTTCCTTCTCTGCCTCTCCCCACAACACCATCAGAACAGATTTCCATCCGTCCCTTATTATTAGCGAACCTGGCGGGGTATCCGTGCTGCTGGACAGGCTGCTGTGCGCCACACCGCAGGCATGCTCACAATTTGACCCTGTTTTTTTCTTTTTAAGTCACGCACAGAGACGTGTTTCAGCGCAATAAACCTTTCTTTTTCGGGGTGTGTGTGGAGGTCTGGCTGGGCGCCCCGGGCTGTCCGGACAGCCGGGACTCTCTAGTCCCGCGCCGCAGCGCCTCGGGGGTTAAAGCGATCTCCCCGGAGATCGAGGGGCGGTCCCCGAGACGCCCCGTGACCCCTGACCCTCGCCTCACTTCCCGTTTCCTATCTCCCCCCCCCCCCAAACAATCGCCGTCCCCCGAGGCCTGTGTTGGCTGCGAGTCCCTCCGAAGAACCTTCTGGAGCGCGCGCCTGCGAGTCCCGCTGCGGGGGGGGGGGGGACGCCGGCCACGGGCCCGTCCCCCGGTGACCCCGCGCCTCGCCCCCCCCCCCCCGCCGGGCCCGGCGTCCTCCCGCCCCCCAGCCCGGACACGTGACCCCCGCGGCGTCCCCCTCAGCGGCGGGCCCGGGCCGACGGTTAATAACCGCCTTCCGGGCCTAGGCCGCGGCCTGGGCCTCGGGCCTCCGCCTTCGGGCGCCCGAGCCGCGGCGGGTAGAACCGGGTCTTCCTACCCCCGCCCCCCCCACAGCCCCAACAGTCGAGTTTTCAAAAAGCCCGCGCGGGGCGCCCCCCGGGGGGCCGCATCCGTTGGGAACGGCCCCCCCCCCCCGCCCCCCGGCGCGGCCCTCGCCCGCCCAGGCCCCGCGGGAGGGAGGGAGGACGCGCGGGGGCGGCCCGCGGGCTCCGCACGCCCGGCGAGCGCACGCGCACGCTCGCGCGCGCGCCGGGGAGCGCGCCCGTCCGGAAGCGGAAGCGAGCGCGGGAGGATGGCGCTGATTGGCTGAGCCCGCACGTCTCTCACGGGGGTGGCGCGAACGCCGCTGCGGCGTGTGGCGAGGGAGGGGGGAGGGGGGGAGAAGTCAGGAGAGGGGAGGGGGGAGGACCGCCGGGAACAGCCGCGGGGCGGGAAAGGAGTTTCGGAGGCGCTCAGGGAGCCGAGAAGACCGCTAGTCGCCACCCCCCGCGGACCTGCCGAGAGCGAAAACGGAGCGGTAGGTGCGGACGCGGGGGGGGGGGGGGGGGGGCGCGGCGAGGACGCGGCGTGGGGGGGGCGGGGGGAGCGAGCGGCTCGCGGAGGGCGGGGAGGCCGGGAGCCGGAGCGGCGCTCGCGGCGCGCGGGGGCGTCGCGGGGGAGGGGGGCGGAGGCACCGAGGGGGCGGGACCAAAGCGGAGCGCGGCCGGGGATTGGCCGGCAGCGCCCGGGCCGCCGTGCGTCGCTGGTGACGCACGCCTCGGGGAGGGTGCGCGCGCCTTCAGCGGCCTCTTTGTGTGGTGCCCAGATAGGGGAGCGGAGGTGGCGGCCGCGGCGGCCTCGGTTGTCTCCCGGTGTCCCGGGCTCGCCCTCTAGCCGGCGCCTCTTCCCCCTATCCCTCCCCCTCGGTCCTTCCTTCCCTCCCCTTTCCCTTCCTTCCTCCCTCCCCCGGCGGCGGCCTCTCTCTCTCTTTTTCTCCCCCCCTTCCTCTCGCCCTCCCCACCACCACCTCCCCCCCCCCTTTCCCGGCAACGGCCGGGCCGCGGGCGGCGACGAGGCCCTGAGCCCGCCATCACGGCGGCGGCCAAGGCGCGGGGCGCGCAGGGCGGGGGCAAGGCCCGGGCGGTGGAGATGGAGAACTCGCAGCTGTGCAAGCTGTTCATCGGCGGCCTGAACGTGCAGACGAGCGAGTCGGGGCTGCGCGGCCACTTCGAGGCGTTCGGCACGCTGACGGACTGCGTGGTGGTGGTGAACCCGCAGACGAAGCGCTCGCGCTGCTTCGGCTTCGTCACCTACTCCAACGTGGAGGAGGCGGACGCCGCCATGGCCGCGTCGCCGCACGCCGTGGACGGCAACACGGTGGAGCTGAAGCGCGCCGTGTCGCGCGAGGATTCGGCGCGGCCCGGCGCGCACGCCAAGGTGAAGAAGCTGTTCGTCGGCGGGCTCAAGGGCGACGTGGCGGAGGGCGACCTGGTGGAGCACTTCTCGCAGTTCGGCGCGGTGGAGAAGGCGGAGATCATCGCCGACAAGCAGTCGGGCAAGAAGCGCGGCTTCGGCTTCGTCTACTTCCAGAGCCACGACGCGGCCGACAAGGCGGCGGTGGTCAAGTTCCACCCGATCCAGGGCCACCGCGTGGAGGTGAAGAAGGCCGTGCCCAAGGAGGACATCCACGCGGGCGGCGGCGGCGGCGGCGGGGCGCGGGCGGCGCGGGGCGGCCGGGGCCGCGGCCGCGGCGGGGGGCGCGACCAGAACGGGCTGGCCAAGGGCGGCGGCGGCGGCTACAACAGCTACGGCGGCTACGGCGGCGGCGGCTACGGCGCCTACGGCGGCGGCGGCGGCGGCTCGGCCTACGGCGGCAGCGACTACGGCAACGGCTTCGGCGGCTTCGGCTCGTACAGCCAGCACCAGTCGTCGTACGGGCCCATGAAGAGCGGCGGCGGCGGCGGCAGCTGGGGCGGCCGCAGCAACAGCGGACCTTACCGGGGCGGCTACGGCGGCGGCGGCGGCGGCTACGGCGGCGGCTCGTTCTAGAGGGCGGGGCCACGCCGAGGCGCCGCGCGGCGCGAGCCGGCCCGAGCGAGCGAGCGAGCGCCCGACGCCCGGAGCGGGCCCCTTCCCGACTCGCCCCCCGCCCCCCGCCCCCCCCACCCGGCGCGTCCCGAAGACGGCCTCGCCCGCCCCCCCGGCCCGGCCCCCCGGCCCGGCCGCCTGCCTGCCGCCCCCCCCCCCCCCCCCGGCCCCGCAGACGGACTCGGCCCCGCGCGCGCACACTTTTGTGTTACAGTCATTGATGGACTCTATTTTTTTATTATTACTTGGACCTTGGTCGTTTTTATACTAGCAAAAAAAATGTCTTCGTTTTCATTGGTGTTTTTTTTCGGGGTGCGGGGGGGGAGGGCGTGAACTTGCTGATTCTGTAGCAAAACCGGGGCGGGGGTGGGGCGGGGTAGTTTACTTTGTCGTAAGGACTTGATACCTGGCTACAGCGTTTTCTATGAAACCTACTCGGAATCCATGCCTGGAAATTTGGAAAGCATATGTACAAAAATCATTTTTACGTTTTATTTTTAATAAATCATTGTGTTTGACCGCACATGTCTAACATTTTTTTTCTAGGGTCCATTCCATACCGTTTGAAGGGATATTAGTTTAAGAAAAAGATGGGTGTTTTTTTTTTCCCCTCACGTGTTCATTCTCGATGTGTGCTTTGAGAAACTTGAGAGAAAGAAATTTTATTTTCCCCGTTATCCTGCTAGTGACATGTTAGCTTTTTTAAAAAAAAATTCCCTTACAGGCAAAACTTTTGAAATGGTGGCTGTGGCTCTTTTACACTTTTTGTTAAAGTTTCTGTACATCCATCGTACTGAGCGGTTTGTTTATAGTCATGACATGGTTGGTCCCTTTCTAGGAGAATTCAAAGTATGTACTGTAGTTTTAAAAGAAATCGTTTGTGTTAAGCATGTGTTTTCATTCATATAAACTGTTAAAAGTTTTCAGATGGCCTCGTTTCATCCCTCCTACCGTTTTGTCTGTAATGAGTGGTTAAAAAAGGGTTATATTTTTACCCTTGCTAAATGCATTTTTGTATTTTCAGAGCAAGTAAGTTTAAAGTGTTGGGTTTTTTTTTCCTCCTACATCTGAACTGTTGTCATTATGAAAATCCTCCCTACCTTTGTAGCACCATCTACTGGCAGAATGGCAGGATAGCTGCAGGAAGATTCAAGACACTTGTGTGGGACAATTGCATCAGATTTAGAAGTTTTGCCATCCAAAGTCTGTGCAAACTTGGAGGTTACACGTTTCCTTGTAACTGAGAATGGTCTTCACAGGAATGTAGTTTGGTGACCAGTCCCTGTCACAGTCTCCCCCCCCTCTCTCCGTGAGATCTGGAAATGTAAACTGGTCTGCATAGCTTGGGCAGTTACCCCAGATAGCTATGACAGCTAATGAACCAGCTATGTGTACTGGTATTTTGGGTGCAAGTTGTAAAGCAAACTATCTGTGTATTCTGCTTGGTTAACATGTATATTTGTAGCCCTTTCCTGCTATAGAATTCAAGTTGTTTATATAAAAAAAAAAAGAAACATAATAGGAGAAAATTGCCTTCCTGGATAGAAATATAGAATAGCAGCGTTTATGGATATCACAAATAAAGAATTCAATTCTTTACATGATTGAGTCAGAGTATGTATGACCTGGTTTTTGGGGGGGGGGGGGCCCCGGGAGGGGGGTCAGTACACTTGTCAATCCCAGTATATTTTGATTTAATGTGACAAAATATTTGAATTCAGTTTCATGGTTGAAAAGCCTGATCTATAAGAAGGTGTCTGAAATGGACATGAAGTGGATTTTTAAAGTAAAATATTTTAATGTGGATTTCCCAGTGCTTCCCCCTCCCCCCCCCCCCACTGTGTAATCTCCATGAGATCTAATTATTGACAGTCTTTTTCTGAACTGCCAAGGCCCTACTTTTTGTATGGATAAAGGTCATGGATGCCAAGGGAAGGTAATGGCTGCTCTTTTTTTTTTTTTTTTTTGACAAAGGATAGCCCATAAAAGCAGATGGGACAGATTCTTTTGTGTGACTTAGTTGTTCAGCTTCCCAAATTGCTGCTTTTTAAACTCTGATACTTCATGATTTGGTTCAATCTTTGGGAGGTGGAGGTGGTGTGGGAAGTTTCTCTAGGATAGAAATATTAAGTTTTACACTTAGTTTTGGTGGTAAGTTTTTTGTAATCATTTCAGTCTAAAGCTGTTATTTGTTTTTAAGTTCAGTGTAGTGACAACATGGTGCTCAGTGAATGATGTAGAAGAGTGCAATTAGAAAAGCAGCCTACGGTTGAGGTGATGATGGTATGTATATTAATTCTTGTCTCTCCTTTGGTATTTAGGGAAAACGCATGCTGGTGGTGTCTTCCTGCCTCTTTCCTGGTGTGCCCCAGAGTTGGCATCATTTTTCTATGTAGCACTTGGCGCACGGTGTTTTAAGTTGGAGAAGGCTACTGGTTTTGATTGACCCATAGGAATCTGACCATTGTCAGATTTAACAAGAACTTGGAGTAGTCCCTGGTAGTGTTTACAACTTTTTTGTTCCATGCTTAATCTCATTTGGAAGATGAGCAAAGTGAAAGTGAACCTCTTACTTGCCTCCCCAATGTGAAGAGCTCTTGCATTTATGTTACTTGCATTAGTATAAAATCTGAAGTAAGGACTAGTTTGAAAGAGGCCTTTTAAAATGGTAATAATTTCAAATGTCTTTCAAAGCCTGCAGTTGATTAAAGTTGAAAGTGCAAACTACCACGTCTGAATGGATATTCTGATAATTCATTTCCTTTGTGTTTGGGATGTATGTTTCATCCTTACATCTAAGTTAGATTTCTTTTTTTCAAGCCAGGGAAAGGACAGGGTACTGAAGAATTTGATTCTTATGGTCCCTCAAGACCAGAATTGGCAGTGTCATTTGTAGGCTTGCTTATTTACCTTTTAAGTGGATTTACCTTTCTCAAATTAGAGAATCTTTATTTTAGGTTAGATATTCTATGTGTCTTTGCCAGTTGAAAGTGGGCATTTGGGTACTTGGCTTTCACGTAACTAATCCATGTATGGATTTTACTCAAAAGAGGTGAATTTGTACCCAGAGGGTAAGTTTCTTCTGGTTTAGTCAAGTTATCAGTGTAGCAATGTGATCATTGGGGGGAAAAATGTCCTCACCCTTATTTTTGCTTTTTGAAACAGGCAAAGACTACTTCAAAGCCAAGGTGGGACCTTGCTTTTTGCTTAGTGTCTCGGATTACTTTTATGAGCCCTTGTGTCAAGTTAGGAAAAGGGAAAACTTAAAAAAAATTTTTTTCCATTGTCAGATATTTTTTAAGCCTATGAAATTTAGTAATTTCTACTATGTGTTACTTAAGAAAAATATTGTTTCATAACATTTGAATGACATTTAAAGGCACAGAATATACTGATAATTACTAGGAAGTATAAAATACAGAAACTTCATAGGCTCTTGAGACTGATTCAGTTGATCATTCTAAGCCAGAATAAAGAAAAAGCAAATAACCCTACTAAAATGAGCAAACTTATGGACTATAACTATTATAAGTGCATAGCCAACTATTTTGTGTGAGTCAGTATTTGTTAAAAAATACATTCTTAACAACATGAAATCGAACACTCTTAAAATCAAGTAAATCGAACTCATTCTTGTTAACCTGTATAGTTTTCATTGTATAACTGTATCATAACTCAAAATATCCCTCTGTTGATGGATTTGAGGTTTCTTTCATTTCTTGCTCTCAAGTGATGATGGGTCCTGCATTTGGAGAAATGGCTGCTCAGGAATTACGGTGTACTAAGTATGAATATGTAGCAATTTTGTGGTATCATTAAATATGTTTTCAGTCTTAATGCAGCCACAGAGAAATGGATATATTTACTTGTGGCCTTTTCACTGCTTTAGATAAATTCAACATACTGAAAAAATTTTTTTTAAGATTATATTTCTAATGCAGTATTAATGACACATAACAACCATTGTACTACTGTCTCTATTTTCTTTCCCCAGTAGTTTAGGGATATTTGCTTGGCTTTCAGTATGGTGGCCATGTTCATCACTGAAGCTTTCCTTGCAGTCTGAGGAAGTAATAAGGCTGCCATTTCTTGAGTGTCTGCTGTGTGTCCTGCGTTGGAGTAAGTACTTTATGTCCATATTATTTAGTTGTCACTGCTTCTGTGAAGAGTTTCCCCCCCCCTCCCCTATCTAAAGACTTGCTAGCTTAAAACTGCCTACAGTCACATAGATGATGAGAACAAGAGGCCTTTTAAATTAATTAATTAATGTATATATGTATGTATGTATGTATGTCAGTCGTGGGGCTTGAACTCTGGGCCTGGGCGCTGTCCCTCAGCTCTTCAGTTCAAGGCGAGCGCTCTACCACTTGAGCCACAACACTACTTCCCGTTTTCTGGTGGTTCCTTGGAGAGAAGAGTCTCATGGACTTTTCTGCCCGGGCTAGCTTTGAACCGCGATCCTCAGATCTCAGCCTCCTGAGTGGCTAGGATGACAGACGTGAGGCACCGACGCCTGGATCTTTTAGTTTATTTTTAAAAGTCATTAAAAAAAAAGTCGAGCCGGGCGCTGGTGGCTCACGCCTGTCATCCTAGCTACTCAGGAGGCTGAGATCTGACGATCGCGGTTCAAAGCCAACCCGGGCAGGAGAGACCGTGAGACTCTGATCTCCAATGAACCACCAGAAAACCGCAAGTGGCGCTGTAGCTCAAGTGGTAGAGCGCTTGCCTTGAGCTGAAGAGCTGAGGGACAGCGCCCAGGCCCAGAGTTCAGGCCCCGAGTTCAAGCCCCATGACCAACCAAAAAAAAAAATAAAATGCCATGCCAGATAGTCTGTATTTGTAATTTGTCCTTTTCTAGATTTTACATAGATAAGCACACATAAAGCATTGTTTTTGTGTACATGCTTCTACGTATGCATATCTTCATCTCTAAGCAGAAGTATGTAAGTGTATATACATATATTTGCATGTATAGGTATACACCTTCAGATATATAGAGTATATATATCTATGTATAGTATAGTTTTACATCAAAGACATCTTTCTACCTATATATAAATAACTTTTCATATGCCTATATGGTCTAATCTCTAGATGCACCACAATTTATTGATTAGCACATTTTCAGTTTTTCTTCTGATTATAATTTAAAACTCTTTGAAAGCCGGGTGCTGGTGGCTCATGTCTATAATCCTAGCTATTCAGGAGGCTGAGATCTGAGGACTGTGGTTCAAAACCAGCTGGGGCAGAAAAGTCCATGAGACTGATCTCCAGTTAATCACAGAAAAAGTTGGAAGTGGTGCTATGGCTCAAGTGGTAGAGTGCTAGCCTTGAGCAAAAGGAGGCCAGGGACAGTGCCCAGGTCCAGAGTTCAAACCCTAGGCCTGGCAAGACCAACACAAAACAAAAACCTCTTTGAAAGCCAAATGTGCATTTATTACATGTCTGTAAATCCCAGCACGTAGGAGGCTGAGGCAGGAGAATTGCAAGTTTGAGGCCAGCTTTTAAGGCAAGTTTTGAGGCCATTGTTACATAGTGAGACTGTTTAAAAAAAAATAACAGCCTGGTGCTGGTGGCTCACGCCTGTAATCCTAGCTACTCAGGAGGCTGAGATCTGAGGATCGCGGATCAAAGCCAGCCCGTGCAGGAGAGACCGTGAGACTCCTATCTCCAATAAACCACCAGAAAACCGGAAGTGACGCTGTAGCTCAAGTGGTAGAGCGCTCGCCTTGAGCTGAAGAGCTGAGGGACAGCGCCCAGGCCTAGAGTTCAAGCCCCACGACCGACCAAAAAAAAAAAAAAAAAAAATAACAACAGAAAAAAATCACCCAAACCTAACAACTCCTTTGGTAGGATTTTCCATGCCCTTTAGAACACACATGGAACTGATAAATGCCTGGTTGAAGCCATTCTTCATGCTGGTGTTCGGGGAATTGATGAGGACTCCTCAGGAATTGGTCGATCATCTGTAGTTGTAATATTTCAGGGTTGCTTTCTTCCTCCCACACACTTTGCTTTTATTTATTTATTTTTAAATGAGACTTGACTAAAAGATACCTAACTTCTTGTGTCCATTAGAGACAAGCCTTAATCCGAACTCTTATGCTCTGAAGGGACTATACATGGAGGTCTGGGATTACTTTATCTCAGGTAAACCATACATTGCTCGTTTCTGGTTTCTTCCACCTAAAACTTGTGATGGGGTATTTGAGTTACTGTGTGTTTAATAGCAGTTTTTCTTTGCAGAACTTGCCTTTCATTGACTATTTTAAATGTTTACCAAACACTTTACCAAGAAGCTCTAAAGAACTTGGAGAAAATAGCAGACTGCCAAGGGTACACTGGCAAAGCCTTGCTCTCAGAGCAATGCCAACGTTGGTGGGCAACACCAAGCATTTGCACTCCCAAATGAAATGAGTTCAGTTTTGCTACTTCATTTTGGTAAGTCAACTTACTTTCTACACTTCTTAATTGCTTGGGTCCTTTTGAATTGGGTCATGATGTGCTTTGCTCACATTTGGTAATGGCTCACTTGGTAACAGCCTTTATAAGGAACCCTTAGATTCGTTCTTAAAATGCACACATGTTAGCTGGGCGCCTGTCATCCTAGCTATTCAGGAGACTCTGAGGATCATGGTTCAAAGCCAGCCTGGGCAGGAACATCTGTGAGACTCTTATCTCCAATAAACCACCAGAAAAGGGGAAGAGATGCTGTGGTTCAAGTGGTAGAGTGCTGGCCTTGACCTGAAGAGTTGAGGGGCAGCGCCCAGGCCCAAAGTTCAAGCCCCAGGACCACCACCACCACCAACAAAATTATTGTCATCCAGCTGAATGGGGATCAGTGATGGTGGTCTGCCTTTAAGATCTCCACAGTTTAGTTACTAGAAGCGAGTATAGGCATCTTAGTCAGATATAGCTGAGTAGCAGTGACTTTGTGGGTCAAGATAAAGATTCTGGAAGAGAAATCTAGGTGAGCTTGGACATTGGCTTTGGGGTTGAAGCAGCAGCTTATGCTATTTCCCTTCAATGACCAGTCCACAGACCTTCCACAATGCTAGCCCTTTCCATTTTATTAGTTTGTTTTATGTTGTGATATGTCCTGCACAAACACTGGCCCTGGGAGGCAGCATTTGAAGTATTCAGTTGTAGAAAAAGAGAAGTCAGTTGAGACGTAAAGAGTCCCTCTTCATTAAGCTGCAGTTGGCAGTATGTACCTGATTCTTGGGTTTCCTTCCTATGTCGTCTCCCTCTGTTGATTTGGTAACTTTATAGAGAATAATTTTTGCAGCGATTAAATCAGGGTGTGGTGAAAATGAAATTAAAGTGGCTGCAATCGAAAGGTTATTTATGCCCTCAACTTCATTTGTAAAATAAAGTTAACAATTGTAAGATTTGGGGGCGGGGAGTGAAGTAGTTGAAAAGTAATCAATGGGCATGAATTATTAGCCTCAAAATTGGTTTGAATTTAGCACATTGTGGGTGTTTTTGATACAATGTGTGGCGCATTTTATGTTGGCACTTGAACTTGGTGCCTATATGAGAGGCGCAGGTCTGGTTTGGAGACATTACTCTTTGACACTGCCACCATTTTTCAGCAAGCGTCCTATTTTCCCAGAATATGAATTTAAGTGCTACAAGATGAAACATTCATAATAATCATGTTTTAAAAAAAAACGTTTAAAAGGGACTTTTGAAGTAGGAAGGCTGGGGCGGGACGGGGTGGAGCGTGGGGGGGGGTTGGGAGAGAGGGGATGGGAGGCAGAGGAAGCTGGACTGCAGCCAGCTTTTCCATCCATTTTTTTAAGGCTTCACTTGATTGTGGATGGTTTGAGTCTTCCGAGGGAAAGGACTCGGGGCCTTTGCCAGCGTTGCTCTCTCAACTCTCCCCGAGCTCCCTTCTCTACTCAGGCTTCTTGGTTCTTACTACGCTGTAGAGTTTCCTAAAAGACAAAGCACTACCTGAAGTAGATTAGAGTCACTTCTTGCTGCAAAACTTGGTAATACAAATTTAAAGCCGTATGCGTCTTTCCTGGCATTGGCCGTCATTTTCATCAGGTGTTGTCTAAGTACCCTCTTTGTGCAAAACCACTTCCAGGGTTTGCAGATCCGTGTGACCTGCATGGCTACTGTCATCCGGTAGTTTGCGTTCTGGGCGGAACTGAGTTTCTTTGGAGATGATGCCGTCTTTCAACCTCTTAGCCTGATGGTGCCACCTCAGATGGTGTACGCCATCCAAACACATTGGACTTTGTCCTGCTGCTGTTTAGTTAATAGACATTTCTTTGATTAAAATCAAGACTCTTAGCCAGGTGTGGTGGCACATGCCTGTAATGCGAGCCCTTGGGAGGCTGAGGCAGGGGGGAGTGTGGAGTTTGAGGCCGGTCTGGGATAATAGCCATAGAGAGACCCTGTCACCAAAAAAAAAAAGGAAAAGGAAAGAAGAAAGACTTTCCTCCGTGCCGCTGGTTACTTTTTAGTTTGATATAATACTATAGGTGTTTGCTTTCTATCTTTGATGTTTGTATTACAAATACACTTTGCCTCAGAGTAAGGCTTACAAGGGTGTGTGTAAATAGCTTAGTCTCTGGTAGACAGTTATGTTAATATTGGGACTGCTGATGGGTGTGGCTGACTAGCGAAAGGTATCATTTATTTCACTCCCACCCCAGCCACACAGTATTTACACAGAGAATGTGGTAACCACTACCTTGTGTCTTACCCACTCTTCTGTGTGTCCACACAGCGACTACTAGTAACCAAGACTTGGTCTCCAATCAGGTTTTAACCCTTTACCTGCTGAGTCAGCTTAGATGCAGGGCCCTTCCATCTCTGGTGTGACTACAATAATATGAGTTTGGCAGAGAGGTGACTTCCAGGTAGAAAGAAGATTTAGGCAAAAAAATTATAGAGCATAAACCATTTTGGCTTAGAAGATGGGTAGGTGGGGGCTGGGAAGTTGGCTCAGTGGTAGAGTGCTTGCCTTGCATGCCTGAGGCCCTGGGTTCGATTCCTCAGCACCACATAAGCAAAAAGGAAAAAGCCGGAAGTGGCGCTGTGGCTCAAGTGGTAGAGCGCTCGCCTTGAGCTGAAGAGCTGAGGGACAGCGCCCAGGCCCAGAGTTCAGGCCCCATGACCGGACCCAAAAAAAAAAGAAGATGGGTAGGTGGGAGAAGGGCCTTTCAGGGTGAGGGCAGGTGCAGAGGCGTGAGTCTGGCGTGGACTAGCACCACACACCAGGCCCATTTACAGAGGTTTTCACTGGGGAACAGGATGGGACGCATGGGTAGGACACTTGCTGAGCATTGCATGAAACCCTGGCTGGATTCCCCACCGCCACAAAACCAAAACCCAAACCCAGATGTTCCCATTGGCTCTGCTCATTCACCCCTCCGTGGAGAAGACAGCTGGGGCCTCGTCTCAGAAAGGTTAAGCAGTTTTCCCCAGGCCACCCAGATGGTGAAATGATAGAGCTGGGAGTGAAAAGCCAAGTCTGACTGCCTTTCCAGCAGGCTTGCTTTCCACACGAAACACTGGCTTCCAAGAAACAGCAGCCCGAATTATATTAAGAGTATACTAAGGATAAAGGAGGGAGTTGGGAAAAACACACGGGGGACAGAGTACTGAGGTCTTTGAGCAGAAGGCTGAGGAATGTGGGCAGTGGAAGTCACTAAAGGTTTTTGACTAAGAGCTCTAGTTGTAGCGAATTCAGGAAGGGTTTTCTAGCAGTACTGAGTGAAATGGAGGGTCAGCAGGCAGTTTCGGGGGGCAGGGTGACTGATGTTAACTGGGTAAGCGAGAGAATGGGAGCATAAACAGAGGTGGCTTGGGACAGGGACCGAGGGAGTCCAGTATGGCTGGAGAGTGCTCAGGCGGGGCTAGTAGTCGAGACAGAATTACTGTGTGAGTTCAGAGGGTGGAGCAGCACACAGGGCTGAAGATGCCCGCTTGGGACAGGGACCGAGGGAGTCCAGTATGGCTGGAGAGTGCTCAGGCGGGGCTAGTAGTCGAGACAGAATTACTGTGTGAGTTCAGAGGGTGGAGCAGCACACAGGGCTGAAGATGCCCGTCCACACACCCAAGCGGGGGTCTCGCATTGTAAGGCTGCCCTGGCTTCTCCAGAACTTCTGTTCCTTTGGCACAGCTGCTTTATGAGGAAAGTAATTAGAACTGTTTGGATTGATGAAAACATAAAAGATCCCAAATCCTTTTAATTCTACCATTGTTATGTGCATAGTTAAATGTTTATTATTATTTGAGAGGGGATGATTTTTGGTCTGGACAAAAATTATTATTATTATTATTTTGGTGCTGGTTGTAAGGCTTGAATTCAGAGCCTGGGCACTGTCCCTGAGCTTCTTTTGCTCAAAGCTAGCACTCTACCACTTGAGCCACAGCGCCACTCCAGGCTTTTTGGTGCTTAATTGGAAATAAGAATCTCACAGACTTTGCTGTCTGGGCTGGCTTCAAACTGCGATCCTCAGATCTCAGCCTGCTGAGTAACTAGGATTATAGGCGTGAGCTCTGGGCACCCGGCTTCCAAATAAATCTTCAATCTTCAATTCATGGCATTATAATAATAAAAAAAGAATATATCTGTCCTGACACTGCTCTTTAAAGGGCTCTGCATGCAGGGCTGGCTCTTTATCTGGGCACTTGGATTGAGCTAGTGTTTGCACAGTTCTCTAATGGATGAGAGCAGTTCGCTGTGCTTATTAGATTGTGTAAGCAATGTATTTTATGCTAAACGCTCACTTCTGGGAGTTACATGCCAGGCAGAGGTACCTAAACACTTGCGATTCTTTTGGATTGTTCGTATTATCATACGTATGGGGGGGGGCGGGTGTTGTCTTTGTGATGTTTCCACACATGTGTACACTGTGTTCCAATCAATCTCACTTTTCTCTGTCAACCCTCTCTTACCCTTCAAACTCAGGGTCTTGTTTTTTGTTTTTTTTTGTTGTTGTTGTTCTTTCCAATTGCAGGTCTTGAATTCAAGGCCTGGACACTGTCCCTGAGCATTTCTGCTCAAGATTAGCAACCTACCACTTTGAGCCACACCTCCACTTCTAGTTTTCTGGTGGTTCATTGGAGATACGAGTCTCACAGACTTCCCTCTATGGGCCGGCTCCAGACTGCAGTCCTCAGATCTCAGCCTCCTGAGTAGCTAGGATGACAGGCGTGAACTAGCAGTGCCCAGATAGTGCTCTGGATGTTACCAGTGGTCTTAAAAATCAGCCCCCAGGTAGAAACATCACATGCCCAAGAGTGCGAGCCCCGGGGGAGGGAGAGATTGTAGAGGGGTAAAGGAGGTCTCTGCTTGTGTCTCTCGC